AAAAAAAAGTCATACCCTTCGCACCCTTTTGGGTGCTCGGACCCTAATAAAAAGACAACAAATTTTGATCTGGGGCCAAACCATTTTATGTTGGAGGTGGGGGTGGAGGGCAACTCCAAAGATATTGAGAACAGTTCAGACGAAAACAAATTGAAACTTCTAACTCAAATATTGCACTGTTTCTTTCCAATAATAGCCCTTCTTTGGGGAAAAAAAACATCCATAATCCAATAAGGGTCCAGTTCTGGGCCCCCCACCCCACTCTGGGCCCAGGACAACAGACCCGTTTGTCCCCCCCTATCAGCGGGCGTGGATGGTTGAAATCAACCGTAGTTTCATGCTTTAGTTTCCAGCAATAACAGGTCTGAACCTCCAAGGACCCTAAGCAGTGCTGAAATTAGTAACTGATTCCCAATAGACAGAAAGTGACTCAACATTTTATAGCTGTAGGTGTAACATCAGTATTGAGGTGGTTCTGACTCTTTCTCTTTCTGTCCACAGCACCACTGTAGGAACTGTGGGGAGATTTTCTGTAACAGCTGCTCTGACAATGAGCTTCCTCTGCCTGCGTCTCCCAAACCAGTCAGAGTCTGTGACACCTGCCACGCCCTGCTCCTCCAGCGCTGCTCCTCCAATCCAACGTGAGAGTCTCACACTGCTGCCAGCACAGCTTGAAAACAATCTGAGATAATATCAACTCTTCAGTTCTCTGCAAGATCCATCTCCCAACTTACAAGGTGTGATCAAGAAGTTCCAAGTCTGCGCCTATAAAAAGCAAAAAAAAAAATGTAAAAAATTTGGCTGCTCTCCTTAAGAGTCGTCTTCTCGTGCAGTGATGCCCTGCTCCTAGCGCTCCTGCCACGTTTGGGATGTTCTCTGGAAGTCCTGTTCTAACCACTAAACACAGTTTCACCATGGACCTCAAACACGTGCAGAGAGAGAGAAAACATCAAATTCTGTGTCAAACTAATAAGGATCATGATTAGGATCATCATTAATGATGAGACTTGGATCTACAGTTACTATCCAGAGACCAAACAGCTGTGTTCAAGACTGAAGAAGGTCAGCAGCTCATCAAGAGCCTCATCAGTGTTTTGTTTGACATTTATGGTCACCGCTGAACTGTCAGCAGTCCTGGAACTTCTTGATTGCATCTCATATATCCATGGTGCTTGCTGCTAGGGGTGGACCACAAGCATGAACACTCATTTGTCTTTTAAGTTTAAAGAAGTCTCACAAAGTGAGCTGCACCTGCATCGTTTTACCTCGTCAGAGTTTGATGTCACTGCTTTCTCTGCAGCTGTTCTGTAGGGAGCGCAAAACATCTCCTGCAATCAGACATTTTCCTACTTGATAACAAATCTTCACAGATCATAAATGTATCTGTTCATTTACAAAAATTTTATATACGAGGCCACGTCTGAAAATACTCTCAATACAAACTAAGTTTTAAACTTCCGTAGTACCGTTTAATGGTACTGAGTGCAGCAGAATCAAACAACCAAACTGGCTAATAATGGAAGTTGTAAAGAAGCTCTGAGCTTCTTAACATCAACCTTCTCACTGGTCTGACCAGTGGTAACGTTAAAAAAAAAAAAAAAACTCTTTAGGGCACAACAGGTTTAAATATATTAAGGAGAACTGCAGGCCTGCGGTCGTTTCTGCACACAGACAGACTGATCGGCAGGTCAGGTTCTGGTAAACTTTAGCAGGATGAGAAACTTTGGTTTTGAAAGAAGGAACAAGTTTATAAAGTGAAACTGCACAGACTGTGACGAGCACTGCTGCAGCTGAATGAAGCAAACCGCCAGTTTCACTCAGCGCATCAAACCTCAAACTGTACACATGAAGTGTACGGCCAACAGATGGGATTTTATAGTTTATACATGCAGCATGGTGGCCTTTGTACTGTTGTTGAGTCTCAGTTTAAAACTCCTTCTTTTTAAGGCACAGGCAGGGTAAATCCAAACGAACCACATCTTACAAACAATGAAATATAAGCTGGATGAATTTCTCTTTAGTCGGTTATGATGAGATCAGAATTGTGCCACAAGATTAAACTGGTCACCTTCTGTGTGTCCCAGTTTGTTTGTTTTTTTGTCTGTTTAGATGAATCAGTGCAAAATGAAAAATGCAATGAATCACACTGCGTTAGACTAATTCCTGGAATGTTTACTGCTTTAGGTCTGCTGACGTTAGACTAGACTAGTTCCCCATTAGGCTCTGGGTTTGATAGGAACTGAAAAAAAAGGTTAGTTTTGAAATCGTGTTGGTGCCACATGTGCCTGTGGACATGCAGTGAATTTTACCTACTTTAGCTTCTCATGTTGCCAAAATGAGCCTTATAGTTCTACAGTGAGGATTTCTGTAGAGAATCTAAAGCCCACAATATTTCAAAGTAGCAACACTAGCCTCTACTAGCCAAGAAAGGAGTCGAGATCAAAGGCACATTTCACTGTTTGTTGGAGACACTAATGCAGTGGATGCTGCTTCAAGGACCAACAGGAGTGAAACATGCAGTCAGCATCACTCTGGCTGGTTCTCCTGATGAACCACTGATGGCTACAACACGACCACTTCACTGGTTAGTGGTGGTTAAGAACAGACTTGAGTGTTGCACATTTCTGACAACTCAGCCACAAAGTATGTTTGAACACTTGCCAATCATATATTGTCTGAAATATAGATTAATTTGAGAGTATTTATATTTCATTTTGTGTTTTCTGCACATTCATTTGTACTTTCACAAGTCTGAGGAACTCGTCTGAACTTTCCCTGTTCACTTGAAGTCAGCTGAATCGCCTTTGACTGCTGCTCCATTCCTGAGAGGGAAAGTCTGAAACTTTAAAACATTTGTTCAGTTTTTTTAATTTATTAAAAAAAAAAGATTCATAACTGTCTTGTCAAATTAAAGCTGATTACCCTCAAGTACACAATCTTCAGTGATGGGTTACGAGTTTCAGTGTATATTCTGGTTTTGTACTTGCTATGTTTACAACTTGTCAAACTGGAAGTATTCATTCCCTTGAAGACATCAAGCAGGTCGGGGTTTATTTCAACAAGCGTTTCTCATTTCAAATAGTTTTTAAAATATTACAAGTTTTTTTTTTTTTGTCTTCATTAAGAGGCAAATGTTTCTGAACTGAACCCTGACAGTCTTTTTTTTTTTTTTTTTGTGCAGTGTTGCTCTTGTAAATCTCCCAGCTTTCAGTGGGACTTGTACAGTGTTGATACGACTGTATGTTGTACATAAATAAGGTTTATAATCACTGTGGCCGTTTAGCTTACTAAATCCTGCCAGTTTAATATGAACTCTGTTGCCAACAGTCTGCTGCCTTGACTGTGTAGCAGTTTCTGATTAAATCAAGGACAGACAGAACGCTTCATGTTGTCATTTTTCTGAAACTTTGGGCCTTTTTTTTCTGCATCCAACTCAAACCTTAATTTTGTATTTCTCGATTCACACTTTGGAAGTCTGGCGCCAACATCTCTTCAAACATCGAAGTCAAGGAGGCTGAAGGACAATTAAATATAAAATTTATTAGGCAAAATGTACAACAGCTGCGTAAGCTATCTTACAGCTCAAATATAGACTTTGTTTTACTTCCACTCTTTGAGAGGGGAATATAATATTCAACTTAGTTTTAAATTCTGTAATGAACTGTGAAAACATTCATAAAAAAACACACTGGCACACATTTAGAAACATTTCAAACCAGGAAAGCTGAGCTGAAGTCCCATTTGAATCAGTGCATCAGGATGGTATTCTGAAGAACGTGTGTTGAACTACAATCAACAATGATTACTATTATTATTTTTAAACATATGAACTTCTTACTAAGAGAAAGGCTGGTAATCATTCGCCTCCACGTGTCACCTAAGTCGAAGCAGTGTTTTCAAATGATTATAGTTCAGGTGATAATGTTCTGTCCTGACAGTGCAATGCCTCCACATTTCTTTAATTTCTTTTTTTTCCCCATGTGCTTTAAACAAATACCACAGCTGTTAATTAGAGGGATAAAGCTGTGTCTCCCTGCTGCAAAGGCACCAAAATAAAATGAATTAAAGTGCATCCAATTAAAGTAAGAACAAAAAACCCCAACAGATTTAACCTTTTCAATTTATAACAATGGAAAAAATAGTGTTGCGAAACCAGCTTGCAAAAGAAAATTTATCTTTCTGCAGCAACTATATTTTTCAATATTTCACGTTAGATACTCTAAACTATGGTGCTCAGTTGTTGAATGAAAAGGTAAATGTGAACATGACCCCCAAAGCGTGTTCAGCACCTGTCACAGCTCCAACGTTTTAACATTGGCGAGCTGTTGTGTAGTTTGTTCTTCATATGCTTTTAGGAATGGTGTGAAAATAGTGCTTATTCAGGTCATATTTGGTATGATGTTGTACACCAGGTGAAGCCATACCACACAAGAGCAACCAAACAAGCACCTCTCTCGTAACAAACGAGCAACTTCACATCAGCTTTCCTGCTTAGAACCGCCAACTGATTAAACGTGGCCTGAAGAGACGCGAGACAAACGCCAGGATGGATTGGAAGAGTTGGATGACATCATCAGTATGCACCTCGCAGCCCACTGCTCCGTGAGCCTCCGCCTCCTCCTGAGTTACCATAGTAACCGCCACGGCCTGAAAAAGTTTTGAAAAGGTAAGTCAGTGTGAAAAGGGTAGAATCGTTTCTCATTGCAAAAGTAAACTTGTAGGTGATTTTTTTTTTTTTTAAAAGAGAAAAACTCACTCATTTCAGCTGCTCCGCTGGCTGTTGAGTTAAGGAACAGCTCGATATAACGATGCTCTGTGGAGGAAACAGCAATCCATCAGTCATACCAAAGAACCTGTGATTCTATTGTCGTTTAATGTAAATGAAATGTACTTATTTACCTTGAGCAAAATCTGACATATCTGTCCTATTGAAAGGTGTATTTGTTGTCTGCTTAATGTCAGAACTAGATTTCCTTCGTGGCCTTTGAAATGCATTAATTTAAATTGGAAGGTCAACCACATCCCTAGAAGCTCATCAGTTCAGTTTGACACTCTCAAGGCTCCAAACTAACTTTTTCACTGGTAGCTTTGGTGCAGCTTTCTCAGTTGGTCGCACCTCCCATCAAGGCACAGACAGGAAACTGACTGATAGACAGTAGAATTCACAGATGTTCCCTAAACGCCTCACACTGCAGGCTGCAGTAGAAGCTGCTAGATGGCTGCAGTGTGCTCACACACGTGTGTGAGCAAAAATGTTTGAAAAGAGTGACATAAGGTGTTCTAAAGTCAGATTTGTGCAGGAAGAAGCAGAGTGAGTTTATCTACATGCGTCGTGTTCTATGAGCAGAGAAAACGTATGAAGGTGCGCTCGGCTTTTTAAGAGCAGAGTGCATCTTTAAATTTAAACAGCACAGTTGATCGTGTTCATATAACTGTAGGAAGTAAATATCATCAAGGTGGATCGGTGGTTAGCACCGTCGCCTCGCACCTAGAAGGTCGCATCCTGGTGAGGACACCCGGGATCTTTCTGTGTGGAGTTTGCATGTTCTCCCCGTGCAGCGTGGGTTCTCTCCGGGTTCTCTGGCTTCCTCCCACAGTCCAGAAACATGTTGAGGTTAATTGGTGATTCTAAATTGTCCGTAGGTGTGAATGTAAGTGTGCTTGGTTGTCTGTCTCCAAGCCCTGTGATAGACCCTAGTGAGGATTAAGCGGTGTATAGATAATGGATGGATGGAAATATCATGATTGTGATTGATATGGAGACAATATCTCCGTGCCTCCACCTGCACTCTGATCATCAGGTGTGTCTAATGTCTCCCTCTCCACCAGCCGCCTCCTCTTTCCTCAATTTAGTTGTTTAAAATAATCCACTACAGACCACTTTATCTTTATCTTTGGAACACACAACAGCTAAAGAGGTTGTTTCACACATCAGGCAGGGACAGACTGACAGAGCCAGGGAAGAAATAAAAGTACTACCTTCCACTTCCATGGCTAACATAAGAGCGACCCATGCTGATCATCATTCACCAGCACGATTGCAACCACTTGAAATTTTAACTTGTATTGCATGAGTATCATTTTGGTGGCAGTCAGGATCCCTGACACTGTGCTCCCATATTCAGCTTTTCTAACTGTCCACATCGCTGCTGTTAGTCAACAGTTGCTCTGTCTATCTGGTCTTAGAAACGTGTCCCCAGAACCAAGTAATGAGAAATGAGTAAAGAGAAAAAGGGAGGACATACGCATGTGGTTTTTGTCTTTGGACATGGCTGCCACAGCATCTTCATGGGATCGAAACTCTACATCTGCCTCTCCAGTCGACTTGCCGTTAGGAGCCATATCAATGTGGACCCTCATCGGATTCAAAGGAGAGAAGAACTGGGGGGGAAAAAAGCAAAACGAAACTGGACATTACAAAACACAACATGAAGAGAAACAACAGCCACAAGGACGACACAGGTCTAAATTATTGTCAAGTCTTTAATCTACAGGGTTTTCACTGTGACTAAAGCCTCTACGGTGTGAGAGTGTGTCGGGGGGGGGATTGTCCTCCAAGTATTTATTATCAAATCACATTTTTGTCAGCACCTCACAACAGTGTCAAAGTATAAAATCATATACCTCATCCAACTGATGCAACCCAGATGAGCAACAGACAACTGAATCAAAAGCGGATTCGCTTAAGTTCATTTAAGTTTTTGCTTGCATTTACACACACCTTTTAATTTATTGAGCTTCCTACAGTCGTCATGTCAGAGAGCTGTGGTGACAGTGCGTTAGCTACAGGTCTGATGGTGCCGACTTAAACTCCATATAAAAGCCTCCTGCACACAATACTTAAATAATCCCAGGTTTAGTTTATAGGTGTGACATGTTTCCTAAAATTCTGCTATCAGATACATCTACAATCTATCAGTATTGCAGGTAAAAGAAATTAACAAAGACTTTTTATTATTTTTAGGGCTTTTTGTTGTTAAGGTAATTTAAAGACTTCTCAAGGTTTAGTTAGTAAGCTGTCGTGTTTTTCCACCGACCTGCTAGGCTGCTAAACAGTTCAAAAACCTTCAGTGACTGGTAGCCCGTCTGAATAAACCTTTAACCGGAGTGTATTAGCGGACAACAGTCCCTGTTTTATGAATAAGGAGTTGGCATTTGTTGTTGACCAACACGGCTAGCGAGCTTTACGTCGAGTTTCACGTCGAGCTTCACATCGAGCTTCACGTCGAGCTTCAAGCGCGAGGACTACTAAATAACTGCTATTTCATTATCTTGTGTTGCCTAAAACTTCGAGCTAGCACCGACCTTTCACTGGCTACATACTAAGGAGTGTCTTACCAACAAATGATGACAATACCACGGTTTTGTGTTGCCTACTAATGTGCTCCGTGTTTTGCGCTGTAGCTCCAGCCTCTTACTGGAGTCAAGCACCAGATGAGGGTTCATATGGCATTTGCTCTGTCTTGTCCCATTCTTGGTGATCATAAATACCTGAAAGCCCGCATAGGTCCCTACAATTTGAATTTTTTTAAAGAGAAATATTCAAAGCAACTGTGTGTTCTTACTTTAGCGATGTCTCCTTCTGTGGCACGGAAAGGTAAACCCCTCATATGGACAAAATGGCCGCTGTGAAAGCCTGAGCCACCGTCGCCCTGACCGCCGTAACCTCCCATCCCTGAGCAGAAACACACAAACTCATCCACAAACAGCCAAGACAAGCGTCCGTGATGTAAAATGCTTTTAGATTTCTTCATGGTAACTAAACCAATAGATAGAAATAAAACAAACGGCAGATATTTTGTGAGTTTTTTCAAAGTATTAATGTTTAACAGGTAAAGGTGTGAAATGTTTATATAACCTCCAATGACATGTGGGCTAAATCTTGGGGATAACAAACTAAACCACTGCCTCACAAAACCAAATCCTAGTTCATGTATCATTACCAAGATGACTGCTGAGCAAAAAGGCGATTGATCGTAAATGTAAAAATATACAAGAAACAAAAATGTAAACAAATAATAGAAAACTTTTTGGCCTTCCAGCAGGCTGTCGGTACAAACTGGGCTTTCAAACATTCATCCAGTAGATTTATACGGCAGACTGGAGAGTGTAAATACAGTGTGAACTTTACCTCTTCCTCCCCTCTCTCCTCTCACTCGCTCATCAAACATGCCGTTGCCAAAACAGTAGTTGTTAAAGCCATTGTAGTTGTCAAAGCCACCGTAACCTGGACACAGAACAACAGAGGAAAACTCAGACTGTAATTCAACACACATACAAGACATGACACAGATAAAGCAGGGCTCATCCCCTAAAAGAATCAGGGGCAGAACTGAATAACAAGCCAACTAGACGGTAAAAAGTTTGTTTTTTGAGGGCTCAGGGGAAGAAAAAAAAAAAGATATGGCAGCTAATGTGGGCCAGTGGACCCTTCAGAAAACCCTTTCAACATAAACGTGAACCCTCAGTTGGCTCTATTGTGTAACATATTATGATCAACAAAACAGCAAGAGAATATATTAAGAAAAGAAATACACTATGCAGAAATCATCTTACCTCCTCCATAACCTCCTCCGCTCCTCATGGTGTCCATCAGAGCGCCGCCGCGACCAGGCCCAGGCCCAAAAAACCCTCCCCTGGGGCCCCCCATCATGGGTCTATCATAGGGCCCTGGTCTCTGGCCTCCCATTCCCCGCCGGGGCAGCTCATAGTAGGCTCTGATCTCATTACGACTGCTCTTAAAAATCTCTATGTACCTGCAATACGAGAGGCCCGAGGGAGGAAAGGGGGGCAGAGGACGGGAATTAAGGTGTAGAAATGGCTCAGCTCAGGTTACATACATAAATGTGATTTACAGAGAGAGAAGATAAACACACAAAAAAATAAATATTCTAAATAGTGGTCTGAGTGCCTGAACAACTTCAACAATATCTCATCTTTAGCTGGGCTTAGGGCTGTAGTACGCCAACCTCATCATCTGTTACTTAAGGAAATACTTACAGGGCTTTTAGGTGTCGTTTTGATTGTTTTTTTTTTACTGATTTAGTACATCAGAGATGCATTTATGGTAGAGGCTGTGTTGACTGTTGTATGCAATAATTCTACACTTAATCCCCTCTTCCATAATAAAGTATCTATATGATACATGTGTGAAAGGAAATAAAGATACTGCCAATAGCTTATCTAATACACCCAGATGATACTCTCAGACGATTACATAGAACTCCCTGGTCTTAAATGACCACCAGAAAACTGTCCAGGACATAAAATGATCACACCAGCTTTAGCTTAAGATTAGATACATAGCCTGTCATCCTGATATTCAACATGTAATTACAGTATAGTAACCCATTTAACCCCTCCCATAAGCATTCGAATAAATATTACACAACCCACCCAATTAAACGATCATTTCATCAGTTTAACCACAATTTATTCTAGCACACCAACCCATGCTTATTATTCAACCAGAACAGAACCCGTCCCATTAGCACCATTATTATTCTACTGTTATCACCCAGTAAATACTATAATAGAAGTCCAACCCAGTCCAGCCCGTCCCTTTCCCGTCTGTCCCACCTGTGCCCTATTCTTTCCTTGTGTTTCCCCAGAGCCTTTTCTGCTATCTCCTTTGAGGCAAACTGCACGAAGGCTTCCCCTGTGCTCCTCCCCTGGTAGTCCACTGGCAGAGTAATCCCATTTGGCACGATTCTCAACCCTTCAACCCAAGCACACATAAATACATAGGTCGGTAGGTAGACTGATAGAATAGATAGAACAACACCCACTGCATCAGTGGAGCTTTCAGGATTCATATAGGTCATGAAAGCGAATAAACAACAGATGTAGAATCTCATAAGGCTGCATTAAAAAGGGGGCATCTCAGAGGACTGAATTTACACTTGCTGGTGCCCAGCAGTAAAAAACAAATACTGGCCTGGAGTCAGCATATATACACAGTATTACATTTAAAATAACAATGTTTTATGATAAACTAAAGAATCAAGATCGCCGGCCAAAGTATTTATTGGCACTCAGTGACGATGCTCTCGATCAATATTAATCTTTCAGTGCTGATTATCCTGGATAGAGAATGCCAGTTAGAGTGTTAATAATGCTGACCCCAGGTCAGTTTCATGGGACTGTCTCCCCTCAGCCAAACCAGCCCAGCTCATCCTACAGTAGGAGGCATGACATCTAAGCCATATGAGAATACTAAATAATGGGTGAACATACCACTAACATGGTTGGCATCATACTAACAGTTCTTGACAAGGACAATATAGTAAGCACAGAATGACTATTCTACAAGAACAAACATACATGAGGCCTTTGGGCCATAACACACAGACATGTTAAAAGACTAGAAGTCAAGTTTAATCACCGTGTATCATGAGAAACAAAAGGTTAAAGCACGGTGCCTACAATCTGCCCTTCTATTTTGCATGTTAGTGCATGCTAATGTTGTGGTGTGTTGCTGTGGGGTTGATCTGTGAAGTGCAAAGGAGCTTCGATCAAAGTGCAGTTGGCAGTCGTTGGATTCTATTTTTATGATACAATCAAAGTCACATTTCCTAATATGGCACTGTTTAAGTTGTTCTACTTTCGTGTGAACATAATTTTGCCATGAAATTAATTTGGAGAACGCAATAATAACAAAAGAAATTCTATATATTGAAGCTTTAAGTTCTACTTTGGTCTATAAACTTGGAACAAGCCAAAGAAGTGATAATGGACGTTCTCTTGTTCCTACTGAACGATCTCTCTGCCTTATTTAATCAACCCTATGGTGAGATTGTACACTGTACAGGGCTAAATGACATATGTCAGGCTATAATAAACACTAGCCAAGAGATGAGAAAAATGCATTCAGAGCCTACGTGTGTCTTGTGTTTTTTTTTAAGTGTGCTAACTCATTTGATGGCCTTGCACTACATTACATTACGTAGCTTAGCCTTGAAAAACTACAACACTGGAAGAACGATGCACCTGTAAACACTATTCCTTGGAATAACATCAATAGCGTTACATCACTACAATTCAATATAGTAAGTAGACAAAAGTTTAAATATGTATGTACCTGAGAAGAACTGAACAATCTCCTCCTTGCTGCAGCCAAAGGGCAGGCCTCTAAGTCTCAGCATGCAGCCACTGCAGCTGTCATAGTCAGCAGGACCACTACGCTTCAGCACCCAATCCATCTCACTACGGTTTGACTTGAACACTGAATTTACACACAGACAGGTAGACAAACAAACAGGTGTGTCATTTGAAGGGATCACTAAAAAATAAACATTTGCTGATTTTCATGATCATTCTGTTGAAGGCTTCACACATAAACTAGTAAGACAATAAAGGAAAATAAAGGTAAACCCTGAAACATGTACACCGACAGCACTTTCACAGTAAACTGATGAAATTAGCGACAGAGTTACAGAAATATTTGCACCAAGGCTATCAGCAATGTAACATACAGCAGCAAGGAAGGAAATTATGAAATTAAAACACCAACATTTAGAGTCTGTTACTCTGTTGTAACTGTTTTAGTCGCTTACCTTCTATGTATCGGTGTCCCATGTATTTACGGTCCTTGGACAGGGCATTCTTAAAATCCTCGGCTGTTTTCAGCTCAATAAATGCCTCTCCGCTGGGACGGCCTTCTTTAGAGTAGGTGAAACACACTCCGTTTACTTTTCCCACGATGTCACAGTCTGCATATAAATGAGACCGGTTTAAATTTTTCAAAAATGTTGCCAGATTTAAGATACACCCTTTCATGATTTAAAAAAACAAAACTCAGCTGGTGTGTGTCACATTACAACATTCACAGTAAAAAGGGTTAACAAGTGTGAAGCATGACAGGTTTAACACTCATAGTTGACTTCACGCCTCAAGCTGTGGTCATGTGTAAATTCTTACCAGAAAAGAAACTGGCCACCTCCTCCTGCGTACAGGACCAGGGAAGCCCTCTGATCCGGACCACATAACCCTCGTCATTCAAAGACATCCTCACTGCAACACAGAGAAGCAAGAAATTAAACCACTGTGTCCATAATACTCAGCCACAACATTGTCAGTGTCAAACAGCACTGAGCTTCTAGTATTCCCTGACCTACAAGCCCTGATCACTGGAGTCCCTGCTGCCAGATCTAAAATAAGAACCAAACCCATTCTGGTCACTGGCTGTGTGGGTATTTCTTTATTTATATAACTATATACACTAGCAAAGTGCATTATAATAATGCATTGGATAATTTTCACATTTTACAATCTGCAGGTTCATGTGAGCATTCACTATTAATAACGATCATGCCTACTTTGCGTTGTTTCTTTTTGCAGTTATCATTTATCCATTATTCTCCATTTAATAACACACTGCCAACAACACAACGACATAATTTCAAGAAGCTTAAACTATCAACAGAAGCAGCTCAACAGTTTTGGAGACAGTGGCAAAGTAATCAACCGCCACAGACGGAAATATTAACAGTATGCAATCACTAAGCACCGGTATAAAACGTCTATTAATTCACTTTATAATGCTAGTTTCTGCATTTGCCACAACAATTTAGATAAGCTAACGTTAGACACTTCCTCCTTCCAACTGTGTATCTTAGTGTTGGTAAAATCCAGAGGTTTGCTAGCAAACGTTTCCAGTCCAACCTAAACTTACTCAGACCATTTCAAACATGTCCTTACAAGACGGTACCAAAGTTGCTCCTTTAAAGTTCGCCGCGGGAGACTATTTGTCAGCCTGGATACCGGGCTAGCATGTGTGCTAACGTTTCTCTGCTGTCACTCTGACGTGAGCGTGTTAGCAGTTAGCAGGCTAGCGGCTAAAGCTAACTGTAGGACACAGACAGCGGTCAAAGGCACGAGACAAACTAGTGCATATTGTGACGGGCGCGCGGTCCGGCTGCGTGTCAGAATACATCCACGGACAGAAATATGTCATCGGTGTGAAATGTGTGACACGGTGAAATGGTCTCACAGTCGCCTCTTGTCCCGGTCTCCTCCTGCTCCTGTCCCGAGCCTCAGGTGACACCGTCAGCAAACCAGCTCAGGTATGTTGTCGCGAGACTTCGGCACATGGACGAGAACTTTGATTGAACAATTATTAAACTAATACACAGACACACACATACACACACACACACACACACACACACACACACACACACACACACACACACACATATTAACAATATCGAAACACTAACAGTATTAAAAAGAAACCTGTTATAAGAACGATTGTTAATGTAAAAATGTTTCTAACATTATAAAGTAAAATCTAATTAAAGTAAATTACTACTTTTACTTTGCATCGGATGTTGCTTGTTCACAGACTGCGTGGTTATAATTGCCCAGTGACATTTGGTGTGTATAATAGTGTGTAATCAAGTGTATTAATTAAACTCATCCATCATTCTCTGTTAGTGAATTTACTGATAACCTCCAGTAAATGTTCCATTCAGGCAGACAGGCATACTATGAATAAACTAAGGACAATAAAATGCGCATTATTTTATGTCTAAAAACGCAAATCAGACATTATGTTAGAATATTGTCAGAAAAATGTAACCTTCAGGCATTAGCTATGCATGTGTGATTAATAAACCAAGCAAAGTTTCTGGCTAAATATCAGATATCAAACATTAAATAATGTAGATTTGATTCAGATTCAGAAAACTTTATTTGTCTCCAGGGGATAATTAAAAAAGGCAAGAAGAGCAGGCCGTGTCACAATGATGTAAAGATAAGTAACATAAATAAATCAAATAGGGATAAATATACAAAAGTAGGACAAGTAAGATAATAAGAATAAAAAAATAGAATAAAAGAAAATAGAGGGAAAACAAACAAAACACTCAGTAGCATAATAGTGCAATACTGTTTCATTACATGTATGCTGTTCCACATGAAAAACGAAATTATACAACATGTGTAAATTCAAACGTCAATCAAACTGAAACTTTAGAAAACTGTGGCAAACTGAAGTTCATAAAGTGACATAAGATTCAATACATTTCCTTTGTGCACTGCACTGAAAAGTGTCCAACAACAGGCTCAAGAATCAATCTCAAGTTCCTGTGTGCTCTGAGTACACTCTATTTTGTCACTTTTCCAGTGTGAGAACACTACAAACTCAAAAACTGTTTATAATCATTATGCAGTGCAGCACTGTTGGTGTCCCATGATAAACTGTGCACATGTATGTTCCTCTACTTTGCAGATGGTTACATGTAGAGTAAATTAAAACTGTTGTGTGATAAAGCACCTGTCTGAAACAATGATGTGATCAACAGGATCAAGGTTCTGTCTTCAGTGGTTTACAGCAACCAGTGAGGTGACTCTGACACTTTGTAAGACAGTAAGATACAACAAAAGTTATTAAGCATGCTCTCTGATTTTGTGTTGGTGTTGTGTTGTTTTTTCTGGTGTAGCAATTTTCCTGAGGTTTTGTACCGAAGGGATCAATAAAGTTTTATTCTAATTCTATTCTAATTCTAATTCTAATTCTCACAGTATGAACAAAACTAAGGCAGCCACAAATGTCCCACATTTTAAACTGGTCCCACTTTTCCATGGAAGGAAGCCTTTTAGCCAGGACACCTATGTTAGTCATAATGCAGAAAGGATTCTATAAACGCATCAAAATCAATGCACGTCTAACTGTTAGATAACCACAGTTCATTTTTCCTCAGGACAGAGAGCTTGTAGTTTTCAAGGCAGGATCAACAACAACAAACTTGCTTCCTACACTGGATAATGGCCAAAAGTCAACTAGAAAACAGATGTTGAAAATCTGGGGGAGAAAAATTCAGCTCTGGCAGGAGAGGATCTGACTGCAAAACCAAGCACACGGAGTCCACAGCAGAAGGGCCTCCAGAAAGTTTTTCTTTTCTTTTAGAGGCGGCAAGATGAGCCATCTTATCTATTTATGATTTCAATACTGAAAATCTGTCCGTGTGTGATGATAATTTACAGCCATGATGGTAGTTAAGAGAGGTCACACTCTGTAGTGCATCATATCCACACTAAGGTCACTGCTGCAGATCAAACGTTTACAGTAAAGGTAACATAAAGCTGTGAAGAGGCAAAGTACTCAACATCTAACTAATGTTTTAACTGCAGCCTATAAACCGTGACTCTGTGTGACAGCTCCCCTGTCTGAAGACAAGTACACATTGTTATTTACTGAAAGACCTCGTCTCCATGTTAGAAATCATTTATAATTACAGGTGATTAAGTTTTGGTGTGTGCGTAAATGCGCACATCCATCTGTCCTTTGAGATGCACATGTGAATTCAGCTGCTGTCTGACGTCGATTTGACCATTTTAAAGGGAACACATATACTAGAAATAACGAACTTCATTTCGTCTCCCGTCTGTGTGTGACTCTGTCAACTGAAGGCACAAATTGTATCATTTGCGCTTTCCGTTCCTGCACAGGGCGCACAGCCAGCTGACTGTCGGTACAAGCAGCCTCCACAGCCACCGGCGCTGCTTTCACTTGCACTCGGACTCTGTGGTTGCATTCACTTGTACTCGAAAATGTGAGGTTTAAAGAACTTGGCCTATGAGATCTGGGGTTGGCCTCAGTTGTAACCAATGAGATTCCAGGGGAGGCTGCGGCCGCCCTCGGAGGCGCCTCTGGTCTAAAGTCCAGGGAAGCGACAGACTGTGTTAAAGACTGCCCTCCCCAGGGGTTCTCTTAGTTTGAAGCCTTTTTCATCCTTCAGCGCAGCAATAATGGAGATTCCAGTATTTACCATTGATGCCTTCACCAACTTACCCTTCAAGGGAAACCCTGCGGCCATTTGTCCACTTATGCATGTGAGTAAAAAAAAAAGTCTAATGTGCATGGTGTCCTCATTTAACCTAGAGGGCAGCCACAGAGGATGAACAGCACAGGAATGAACAAATCATGACACTTCAGGTGATTCTCAGCTTCTATTTGATTGTTTATTCAAAGCTACTTGATGTTGACTAAGAATCATCAGTGAGCAAAGTTCAGCTTTTTAAATAGTCTGCAGTTTCAGTTTTTCAGAGCAGCCCAGGACACTATCAGTGTGCATTATGCAGCGCATCGAACAAGAAGAAAACCTTGTGTTGTGTTTTGTGTTTCTGACAGGAGCTGAGTGATGATTTGTATCAGAGTATCGCATCAGAGATCAATCTGTCAGAGACTGCTTTCATCATCAGGACCAACCCTTCTGACAGTTTCTCCACAGGTATCTCTGTTTAAATGCATCACCACCGTGTCATATATACCAGCATTAGCATAAAAACTGCTGCCAGCAATTAAGGGGATCTTGACAACAGTAAACAAGCACATAGATACCAGCTATAGTGGCCAACGGACTTTGAGACGTTTTCAGTGCTGGCTGGAACAAAGAACATATTGACTCTGCAGCAGAGTCTTTATTGTAAAGGGAAAAAGTAATTAGTTAGTTAATAATTAGTTTTGAGAAAGGCTCACAGTAAACACAAATTAATACAAATAAAGTAATAAAATCCCCCAAAATGCCATAAAGAAAAAGATTAAATACATTTTTTTTCCTCATGGCACTAACATAACACTTTTTTTTTCTTTCTACAAAGACCATTATTATCCAAAGCAAAGTTTCTAGATATCTGTTCATTAGTTTTTAGGACAAAACATTTACAGCACGATTACAACTGTCAAACAATCACTTATAACTTATTTTAATTTATCCCAGGTATTTTCACTGTGTGTGTGTTTTTTTTATCGCTGACCCTTAATAGTCACTTCGTTCTGCAGTGCGTCCTTGATGTAATTTGTATGAATGACAATAAAGTAGTCGGAATCTGAATCTGAATCACAAGTGTTGTGGAGTCAAAACTAAAACAAACAAAAAAAAACAATTTTACGCTAATTTTACGGTCACATCCACGCTTACAGTTTATTCCTTTACTATAAAATATTTGAAAAAAATCCAGCCACTTTGACAAGAAACAACTAAATAAATGATTAAACACGTCTCACTTATGCAATGATTTTAATAGTCATAATGCAAATGATTGGAGGTGAGAATGTGTATAAGAAACAAAGACAGGCTTATGAATTACAAACATTCTGTGCAGATAATGAGACACAGCTATGTCATGTAATCTCTGTGTGTTCTTGTGTGTACACAAACTGAAAAAAAACGCCCGTCCTCAGCAGTTTGACCGGTAACAACGTTAAACACACAGTTAAGATGTTCATTGTTGGGAGTCAGAACAATGCAACGAACGGCCACAGTTAGAAAAGCAGCGAGCAGCTATTCAGAGTTCCACAAATGGTGCAATGTGCACACAGCATAAGAAGCTCTTGAATGTATGTAAACAGGTCAGACAAGGTCACTTTGTAACTCATAACTAATATAACTTAATCAGTGTGTCTGGCTTTAGCATTTTGCACAGTGAAATCAAATGATACGGCATCAGTAACGTCAGATGTCAATTAAACTGCAACTTTAGAAAACTGCTGCAAATTAAAGCTCACAAAGAGACTTCAAAGATTTATTTTTGTATCATTTGCTGCAATTTATTGAAATTTCTTTCCAGCTGTGAGCAGCTTCTTTATTTCCTTTATGTACTGCACTGAAAAATGTCCACCAACAACACATTCAAAAATCCATCATCCACTTTATTTGATCACTTTTTTAGCATGAAACACATCCATCCATTATCTATACACCGCTTAATCCTCACTACGGGGGACTGGAGTCTATCCCAGCTGACTTAGGGCGAAGGCAGAGGACACCCTGGACAGGTCACCAGTCTATCACAGGGCTACACTTAAGAGACAGATAACCAAGCACACTCACATTCACACCTACGCACAATTTAGAATCATCAATTAACCTCAACATGTTTTTGGATTGTGTGGGAGGAAGCTGGAGAACCTGGAGAGAACCCACGCTGCACGGGGAGAACATGGAGACTCCACGCAGAAAGATCCCGGTGCCCCCACCGGGACGCGAACCGGCAACCTTCTTGCTGCGAGACAACAGTGCTCATGAAAACACACAAAAGAATAATTTATTGTGGAAGTGCTAGTTTTCCCATCAGAAACTGTGCATGTGTCTAATCTTCTCCTTGTGGGGGGAGGTCCTGTTACATTGTGGATGGTTGTATTTACAGTGAATCAGTTGTGTGATAAAGCACCTGTCTGAAGAAGCGATGTGATTAACAGGATCAAGGTTCCGCCTTCGATGGTTTACACCAACCAGTGAGGTGAATCTGTGCGGTCATGCCACCTTGGCCTCCGGAGCAGCGCTGTTCCGGCATCACAGTAAGACACAACATAGACATGGACAGCACATCGAGGTTGTTCAGGGTGTTCTTACTTTGGTTTATATCAATCCCAGCATGACACACAGGACAAGACTACAAGGCTGCCACATTGTGAAATTGTTTCCATATTGTAAAGCTTCTCCATGAAAAGGAAACACACCTGTGTTAGTCATTTACATGTAGTTCATCAGCGAGTGTGACAGTAATACTGTGTGTGTTGTATGTGTTCCTACAGACAATGTAAATCCCACACTGGTGTTTGAGACGAGGAGTGGAGATCTGGCTGTCACCAAGAAGGGGGAAGGCTACCTCATGGACTTTCCTCTCAATCCACCGGCCCCGGAGGTACAGTGTGTGTTTGGATAAACACATCAATTTTAAGTTGCAGATGCAGGCAATCCTATCCTACACCTGATCTCACAGTTACAAACGTTTGCCTAAAGAACTGCTGTGTGGCTTTGCTATATTGTATTTTCCTGCAATATTTCTGAAGATTGTTCAAAAATGTTATAAAAGTGTTAACTTTTCTCGTCCCAAAACCATTTTCCATCTCAGGATCCCAATGCCTTCAGAGACATTATCAAGGTCAGTAAGTCCATTTAAGTGCATATGTGTGTTAACAGATGCACCAGTGTGATTCCATTCCTGTACTTTGGCGTGAGAGCGTGTGCTCTTAACTGTTGCTGTCTTTACTTGTGTGACACAGGTGGCAGTTGGAAACCACCCAGTTCAGGATGTTTGTCTGAGCCCCAGCACCAAGAAACTGATGATACGACTGGCCGATAGCTGTGACAGGTTACCAACAAAACACATGCATGTAGACACACTTCAATAAGTCCAGGCTTCGGACAGCTGAGGCGTGTTTCTGGTGAATTTGTTATATTTAGTGAGCAGATCTTTTCCTAAAGTTTACTCAGCAGTGCACTTCACGCTCCTCAGCCAATGTGAGAGCCTCAGTAATATGTCCAATAACCAGACATACATTCAAACCACTGCCCTTCCAGACACACTCATCACAATCCACTGAATGCACATGCATGTGTATTGTCCTCAGGTCAGTACTAACCAGTCTGAAAGTTGACCATGCTGCTCTTCTGAGCAGTGAGAAGAGTGGAAGAGTCAAAGGAGTAATCGTCACAATGAAAGGTAACAGAGCGTATAAGTACTAGAGCCTTTACTTAACCCAGACGGATATTGTTGGACAGTTTTATGACCTACTGGGCCAGAGCACCTGCAGAATCGGCACTTTTACAGTGTTATCAAAGTTCAGACAGGTTTCATCATAACAACACATTAAGAACAAACCCTTAACAATGTTTTCATCAGGAGTAACACTTCCATGTCGTCCATGTTAGAGGTCTTTATCAGCTGAACTAAAAATATTAAAAAGTACTGTTAAAAGATGTTACTAATGGTGTAGCTCATCAGTGGTCCATAACAACATCCTCCTCCTAAAACCTCTCTACATCTCACGTAAAAGGCTCCCCAGACTGCCAGCCCGGATACGATTTCTACTCCAGATATTTTGCTCCATGGTTCGGCATCCCTGAGGATCCCGTCACTGGTAAGATGACCACCATGACTAATACTACCAGTGTTGCGGTGTATACTCAAAAGCAATGTATTTCTTTACTTATTTCCTCCCTGTAGGAACTAATTCATTGTACTGCTCATCACTTGAGATGCATCATCACATAGTTGGCAGTTAACAATATTATGTTAAACCATTCACGTGTCCACATGTCAGCAAAAATCTCTTTTGTAGTAGTGAGGACATACACAAGATGATGTTTTTATGCTCCTAAATGAAAATAGAACCTCAAGGCCAACAGCAAAGTTGATGGAAACCAGCTCAATAAGCACTTCATGGAAAAATTTCATGGTGAGATAAAGGCTCAAGGTGGCACTGACAAGAGTCCGTACTGCTTCACAATAAAAGCAGTAACTAATTCTGAATAGGGCTTTAATATGACTGTACTTTTAGGCTGTTTTACACAACTACATACAAGCATCAGGTGCAGACACTATAGACAAAGTGCATTCAGATGCACTTGTGCAGTAAAGTTGCTAAATGTTTATTGTGTTCTGTGAAATTCACCTGCCATGTGTTTTCCTTTTCTTGCAGGATCCGCTCACACCGTCCTCGGTAGCTACTGGTCTGAAAAACTGGGAAAGAAAAAAATGCTGGGTAAGAAATTTAATCAACACAATTTAACTAAACAAGAGGCAAACTCATTAACGGTGTAACCTACTTGATGACAGGTGTTGTTTCTTCCTATAAATACTCCGTTACTGACTCTCAGATTATCTTGTGTCTTTGTGAAGCTTACCAGTGCTCCAGGCGAGGCGGGGAGCTGGAACTGGAAGTGAGAGACGACGGAAGGATCAACATAGCTGGACAGGCTGTCAGTGTGTGGCAAGGAAAAATCACACTGTAGCTTCAGTCAGGAGCAAACACACAGGGTTTAAGGAGCTGAGAGGTCAACATGGACCTGCAGGAAGATGGTTTCTAACTTTTAGTAATCAATACAAGATGGTATAGTAATAGTAATAATAATAATAATAATAATAATGATAAAAACAGACTAAAGCCCAGACTTATTAATCTTATAATCAAACATCATTGAGCCAAGCAGCAGACTGTAGGATTGAAAAAAAAAAAACACGCACGTTTTGTAAGGATTTGCATTATTTATTCACATAGTCGACATTAAAGTAAATCACAATACTTCATAGAAGAAAAAAAAAACAACATAAATTTACAGGCTGTGCTCAAGTAAAACAGAACGAAGGTTGAATCACAGTTGTGGTCAGAATGTTATTCGACAACATCACAGTTTACTCGTGTTGTAAAACACAGAATCATTTTTGTCCGATATTGTGGTTCGTACCAGATTCCTAGAATTCTAACTGTTCTCTCCTCTGTAATCTGTTCAGCTTTAGTTCAGCTAGTCTGCAGAGGAACTGCAATAAATAACTCAGTTGGTTAGTTTTGCTTTTGCTAATATGAACATAAGACGCACTAATCTTAGTTGTTGAAACGATAAATCAATAAAATCATTGATACACCAGTTTGTTTCTCTGTTTTCTGTACAGGTATAGACCACGGTAGTAAAACCTATTCACAGATCAGAGTTCACAAGTGGATAAAAATTAAATGTTACATTAAGCAGGCTGTAAATAATACCATCATTTCAATCTTATCAAGCTTGTAATTCCTTAAGATTGAACACATTTCATTGCTGTGGCAGACGTATGAGTGTATCTGACTGCTGCAGTTGAGCGAAATGAATCAAGGAAAAACTCCAAACTCACATATCTGATGAAAGAACTTATAGTTGCACCTGAAATATTGTCAGTGTATTGAGTGAGGTATTTGATGAACAATCGAGTCCTACTTGAGGCCTGATACGTTCACAATCAGTGTCAGTTAAACACATGAACTGCAGGGCCGTCCTCTGAATGCGTTCGTAGCTATTTCAGCTGTTCAGTGTGTCAGTACTTCACATAATAGGAAACAACACATACATTTAAAACTGAGCCACTGTAACTGTGCATTTAAAACTAATCAACATTAACAACAGCAGCTGCAGTCTAAAGATCTGTGGTTCACATCTGGCCATCTACTAATCTGCAGAAAAACACAGGAAAAGATGCTTGAATGTAAATGCAACAGAAGGTTTTATATTGTGAGGAATGTGTGGTTTTGATACAAGTTAGTTCAGGTCTTCTTTGAAAAAAGACAAGTTTGAGGTGAGGCCTTGATGTTGAGGTCTGAGGTTCACAGGTGACCTGAAACACCATCATAGCTTTATAGACTTCTGTCACAGGTGCATGCTGGGTAGGGCCTTGTGGGCAGCTGGTGGGAGCTGGATAATGTGAAGTAAGAGTTCAGGAAAAAACTTATAGACACAGAAGTCATTAAAAGAACTGATAAACCGTCATTTGTAAGTAACATTGTTTAACAATTTTGCATAACATTACTAGAATTCATCATAACAGTGCCCCTACTGGAGAGTAATTATAATAAAAATTACAAACAGTTCAGTGAAAGTACCAAGATAATTCCTAAAGGATATCATGTTCTCTTGCTGGAGATGGTTGAGTAGTTTTTCCACCGGTGTGTAGCGGCGTAGTGTTGCGGCAGAGCCCACCATCAGCAGCTTGTGTTTAGCTCTGGTAATGGCTACGTTCAGGCGACGCCAGTCCTTTAAGAGCTCCCCTAACTTTTAATGGAAAGACAGGAAAGAATCAGAATTTCTCACTTGGTCATCAGTGCAGAGATAGATGCACAAAGAAAAAATAAAAAAGGGTGAGAAGCACTTGCCTTTCCTTCCTCTGCAGTGCTCCTGACAAAAGAAAGAACAATCAGACTTTTGTCCCTTCCTTGGTATTTGTCCACAGTGTTCACCTCCACACCGGTAAAAGCAGAGGACTGCAGCAGAGCCGAGATGCTCTTTAACTGCTGCCTGTAGGGGGCGATGACACCGACATCACTGGGCTTACACCCAGCCTAAAGACAAGAACAATTTAACAGGTTAATATGAGAACAAACCACACTGATTATTGAACTGTTACACTTTTTAATACCATTCTTAATAACTGTATCAAAAGGGAACTTATGTCCTAAATACTTGAGCATCAATTAGAAAACTGATGCACCTTTAGGAGAAGCGAAAGCAGCATGTGTATGAGGGCAGCTTCGGTGTGGTTGCTTACTCCTCCCTGCTCCACCGACTCCAGTGCAGGCACCTAAAGAAACCAGTGGAGAGAAATAACATTAAGATCCGTGTACCTCTGCTTTCTTACTTCCAAATACCATCCAACATGTATCAAGTCAGTCATGCAAGAATCAAACTCAACCAGCTGAAAAGCACAGTCTTCAGGAACAGTCTTATCTCCTATTTTACTTATTTACCACTTTAACAGTTACAGCTACTGCTTCAGTTTTTTAAACTTCAGCATAAACTGAGTAATTTCTACCTCACCATAATTAAAAACTTTAATGCCCTCCATATTTCAACTAACCACTGAGCAATCCAGGAAGCAGACTGGGTTGTTTGGCAGCAGTGTGGCCTGCAACCAAGACAGGTCGTGCTGAGGATGCGTCTGAGAGTACGAGCTGATCTCTGACTGGACAGTAAGCAGGAAGGGCAACGTGATCAGGGCTGTGGCCGTCCTCTCTGATCCACACTCCAGCCGGCCGTCATACATCAGAGAGTTACTGAGAGACATGATCTGCCTGAAAAAATAAAGCACAAACTGCTATCAGACAGTGCATATACTTCCATGTGTCCAAACTGCTCTTGTCAAGCTGTTTTGTAGGTGTCACATGAACAAAATTAAGTTTTTTTTTGCAATACTATAGAAAGACAGAGCTGCTGTAAATTCAGATTTAGTTGATTTTAGGATCATAAAACCAGACGACTGGAACATGAAGTGTTTAGCATATAGGTTACCTGTTCATCCGGTACTGTACATTGAGTTGAACCACTGCCTCTTCATGGAGTTCAAGTCGCTTAAATAAACTTTCATCCATCCCACGTGACCTGATGGGAAAAAAGAAGAAAGACAGACATAGATATATGCTGAATCTTTACAGGCTGATGATCAACACACGTCACAGATACTCGACCTGGCTTCCTGGTTTTGTACGATTGGTGGCAGCTGTTGATGGTCTCCAACCAGGACAAATCTTTTGGCGTAGAACAGCGGCCCCAGACATATCGGCTGGCTGATCTGTGAGGCTTCATCTATGATGCAGAAGTCGAACCGGCGATGTGTGAAAATGGGATGTTTGATGCCCATGCAGGTGGTTGCCACAACCAGCTAGAAAGAGACAGAAGACAAGCACTGATGTATAAAACAATTTCCTGTTTTCTGTAGATGTTAACTAACTAAATTAACTAAAAGCGAAATGTTTTGAAGAAAAAACAAACTGACTGCTCACCTCTTTGTTGTAAAGCTGCTCCAGCTCTGACAGAGTGTGAACCCCCTTCTTCCTCACGCTCTCCTCCGTGTATGGCAGGATGTCTGGATGAACCTGGAGAGGGCAGCAGAAAAAAAGAAATTAGATCAAGTAATGGGGAGAAAACTGTAAAGAAAAAAAAGAAGGGGGATCTAGACTTTTGTACTTTTATATGCTCTTTCAAAAATAGAAATTATTTCATTACCGAGATAATACCACCTTGATTCATTATTGTATAACTTCATTAACATTTAATAGTGATCTGTGAGAATGTAATACTTTGTGTTTTAACATCAGACATCTCTACAAAAAGACATTATGTCTATTAAACAAATTTGGGAAGTCAGGACTTCTCTGGACTTCAAACACTGAACAACAACCATAGTGCACCTTCTGTCCCTGCCCCAGACGCAGAAAGCCAACTCGGAAACGTTTGAGCTTCAGCAGGATGTTGTCGACAGCAGAGTGGGTGTAGCTGGTCAGCAGCACGCTAAACCCACATGCATGCAGGATACGAACCTAAGAAGAGACGAAGAGCAAGAAGACAGATGGGTAGAGATGAGGGTCAGAGTTATGGCCTGACAGGGAGTTCATAATGTTGACTTAAGGTTCTGGTAAGATTATATATGATAATGTGGGGGTTACCAGGGTGCAGATGGTTGTGGTTTTGCCAGTGCCAGGCATGCCGACAATCAGTGTGTAGTCTTTGGATAACAACACCTTCTTCATGGCCTGTTTCTGCGGTTTGTTGAGACCTACACAAACATAACAAAATGCATCACCTGACTGAACAGCTTCATATGAGAAAATAACAAAGTGTTGAAAATGCTCCAATACTGTGTTCAGTGTGAAAATAAAACTACAGCACCTGTATTCAATTTCTAGACATCAAACTAAAAGATAAAACAAAGAGCACAGGACAGGCCGAGGAAACAGAGGTGAGTCACCTTTGAGGATGTTGGCCACTGTGTCCTTGGCCTCTCTGGGCAGAACAGAACTGAGGTTGGAGATAAACTCTGGAGACCGAAGGTCAACAACCAGCTCCCTCAGACGATCGCTGCACACAGACACATTTTAGTCAATAACACCGTAGAAATCTTTCAGATGCCTCTTCGTACATCATCTACATGCAAAGCTATCGTAACTTCACACTTCATGTGAGTGTCCCTACCTGTCCGGACAGTTTTCCATCAACCTGGACAGATTGGTGAGGTGAGTGCTGAGACCCACCACACCTTCATCACCATCCACTCGAAACAACACGCCGCTGAACTTTGACAGGTCCCTGGGCAACACATTAAATAACTAAGTGAGCGGACATCAGGTAAGTGACTTATTTGCTCGTCACATAACTGAGCAAATCCCAAACACTTTACTGTTCTATAGTTGAAACACTCAAACTGTGGATTTGTTCCCACCTGTCCAGAGTGCAGCTGATCGCTTTCCTGCTGATCTCACACAGGTACCCTGTTGCCAAGCCAACGAGGCGACCCTCCTGATCGCTGACAACAATCCGATCCCCGCTGGCTAAACCCTGCTGTGAGGCAACGCTGCTGCGCTGGAAACGATGGAGGAAAACCCCTTCAGACTGCACAGTCACTGGACCGCTGAGCTGCAGATTTCCCACACAGCTTCCATTCTTCTCACTGGAAACACAAGACGGCGTAAAATACTTTAAAAGTTTTATTCAATGGGAAGTGGGTGCCTTCAAAAACAGTGTTGGCTTTACCGTGTGTGCTTCATGTTTTGTGGCAATAACAACAAGAACATGAGGAAAAAAGGTGTGTGGGGGTCAGCTTCGTACCTTTCCTGAACTGTCTGAAGCCACACACGCTTTCGACTGTTCTTGGCCTCCATGGTAGTGGCCTCCAGGCAGCAGAGCAGCAGCCAATGGGAAAAATAGTTGAGATGTGGCAGCGTGAGGTGACCAGTCTCTTGCTGCAGAAGGTCCTGCACGACGTCCTCACTGACATCTGCAGCGCTGGGATCCACCGCTCTGAACCAAAGGACACATGAGGAACAGCAAACAGAGGAAGGAGATGAATGACAAGAAAGGCAGAGAACATCACAACCCTGAGACCCTTAAACGACTGAAGCTCATCGTCTCTGTTACTAAACATTCTAATGCTTGAAATTTTCATGATCACAGTTTTAAAAGGTTTACCTCTCATATAAAGCACAGTTTCTCTTCTGAGGACAATACTGGCAGGTTTGTCTGTTTGTCAGGATATCAGGAAGTCTGGAGAGGCGGCTCCGCTCTGCTTCTTGCTCCACACTGTTGTGAATGTGATGAACCAAAGTGTTTCTGAGCTTCAGCAGCTCTGAAATGAACACAGAAAGTTTTAGCAATAAACTGATGGAGGAGGAGAAGCTGCGGCCAAAATGTCCTTTGGTCACTACATCATCACGCAGTGGTCAGGCACACATGATTTAGGTGGAAGGGGATTTGTGGTCTTGGTTCAGCCCATGTACCTCTGCGGTCCATGTGGCTGGGCGCTACAGGGTGCATGTTGCCAGTCTTGAGGTAAAGCAGGAAGCCGGTTTCAGGATTGTACCGCTCAAGGCTCATCAGAGTGTACAGGATCACCTAGACACAGAAACACACCTTGACCTGATTAAAACTCCCTTTTCACCTGAACCCATCAGCCTACATGTGTCTGCTGGCTGAGCCCCACTGACCTGACTGCGATGTTCTATTGAGTTGGACTCCTTTCCAGTTTTCAGCTCCAGTGGTACGGTGTTTTCCTCGGGCATTCTGTGGCTTCCGTTTCGTGGTCTCTGGATTCGAACCCTCGCCGTCACATCGATTTTCCCTTTCAGGCCAAATCTCGGGGCCCAGACATTCTCCTCTATGTCTGCCAGCTCTGTTACCGTGACAACAGTAGCAGGGTCCTGACGGTTGCTTGGAGCTCTGCTGTTGCTAGGGCTGAGACCGGGGAGACAGAGAGTAATCAGCTATATCAAAGTTGGCAAAACATTTTTTTAAACTGTAAATAAGCTTTACGTTGCACATTCGGTACATTGCTGCAGATGTAATAAAGTTTTACGTATGTACGTACAGTTTAAGGCTGATGGCTTTAGGTGATGAGGAGTTGAGGTACGTATTCGCCCAGTGTTGCAGTGACGGCAGATAATCGTGCAGCTCCTGTTTCATCTCCTCCTGACTTACACCCAAAGCGTACCTATGAACACATTGATGAAACACAAGTATTCTGAAAACCTGCCCTTTGCATCAATACACAAAGGAAAGGCTCTGCAGTGCACAAACCAACGTACATGTCGCCCAGGTACCGAGGACCCTGCAACGCCTCATCAGCCAGCTTAGATAGTTTCTCCAAAGAAAAGTCTTTAGCGGTAGCTGCCCTCTGGAACACTTCATGCACCATGGTGCCGTTAAGCATTTGCTTGGAACCGCCGTCAAAACTCTGCATCGAGGCAAACGGAAACAAGAGACAAAGAGTTCAGTATTATGTTATTAAAAATTCAAATGAACATTATGCAATATAACTGGGGATGTCTGATAATATTGGCCCACTGATATTATCGGCCCGATATTGGCATAAAAATGTAATATCTGTCAATATCGTTACTGTTTGTTTTTTTTCCCCCTATAATGTAAACCAATAAAATAAAGCCTGGATTTTGCCACCATCTACCGGCCCGCAAATGACGACATCAGACTGCGTCATGAAGCGTGTGAACAAGTGTGGCTGCAGCAACAAACATATATCAGTATCAGTTGATATCGGAATCAGAAATTGAGAGTTGGACAATATCCAGATATTGGCAAAAAAGCCAATATCGGACATCCCTAAACATGACATCATTTAATGCACCAATGTCAAACTATAGCCTCGAAGAAGATTGAAATCAAAACTTCTTTGAAACAATCAACAACAACAAAAAAAGGATTTAACTTGTGACAGAATGGAAAACAAACTAAGTGTCACCTCTTGGATACTGAGCAAAGCCTTTTACCTTGAACATATCTCCCAGTACTGCACGCCTCATGCAGCGGATGGAGTTTGAGATGCTGGTTCCTGAGATGAGGCTATCAGGCAGTAAAACCAGGAAGCCCTGCTCCCTGTCCACCAACCAGGACCCACCATCGGAGCAGCCCTCCAGATGCACCACATCACCGCAATGGACAGGCGTCATCTCCCTGGAAACATCCAAATGAATAATCTATTTATGTAAAGAAAGATGCAAACATGCACAGTGAAGCCACAATACATGACACACATTCACTCATCACAGATCATCACAGATGGCACAAAATTCAGATTTGTGGCTGCATGTTGGAATGGTAACATGAAATGAAATCGTGAGCAGGATAGATGTCTGAACACACAGCATTACCATCCATCTTTGAGCAGACACGTCTCAGTTGGATGGAGAGACTTGGAGCATGAGATGGTCAGTGTTTTGCTGCCCGGTCTTTCTTCAACGTCCACAACCCAGTAGCGGTTGTTTAGGCCTCCAGAAAGGATCACGTGGTCTGGGACTTTACTGCAGGGACAGAGAGGACTGTTATTATACATGCAGTTACACATCAAGTGTGTTCAACAGGTTCTGTGTTTGATTCGGTTTAAAATAAAATATTAGACACGGCATCAAAGCACCAAGGCCCAGCTTTAACTTGAGCAGGTTTACATAAATATGAACAGCATTGTGTGTGAGATAGAGAAAGTTATTTCAATTTTAATGAGCTGCCTGAACACTTAAACAGCTCGTATACGTCCACTGTTTCAGGAGGTGCTTCTTCACTTTTGTTTCACGTCAAACTCTGAAGCGACCTTCAGTAAGTCCATGGATTTCTCACCGGAGTTTTTTGGGTTTGTCTTCTGTTGCACGATCTTCATTAGGTTCCATCTGCTCTGCAAACCAGCAGTCGTCCAACATGTCTTCTTCAGGACATGCAGACGTCGATCCTAAAGCAACACAAAAAAAGCAGGTTAGCAGGATGTGAAACAAACTAGAGTCAAAGGATGTGACAGGACAATATGACAATAAATATTGTGAAACGGCTTAAATCTTTTTTTTTGGTCTTTTGCACAACATTTCTGCTTTGTGGGCCTCACACACAAAAAGGTTTGTGTAAGAGTTTTTGAATTCAATGTCATTACAAGGAAAAAATATTCAAGACGGGCAGAAAAGTTCTGTGACACTGAAGACTGATCAATGCTAGATTTTCTTCAAGTCAATGCTAATATCGATGTTTAAGAGTTTTAAAAAATTTTTAATAATATATCAGCAAATACAAGATTTCTTAGACTGACGAAGAGCACAGTATAAAATTAGACTTGCCATTTGTTTCCTGCAAAAAACACACATGATCACAATGTTTCTAACCTCAAATTTAGTTTGACATCTCTGTACTGCATGTTTTTTTGTACTTATCAGCTGATACGTACACTGTCTGGCTCTATTTGTCAAAGAAAATATGCAACTTTGGTACAACTAATAATAGTAATTAAACAAACAAAACAACAAGTGGCAGGTGGTATCTGTACCTCCAGTTGCTTTGTCCCTGTTTCCATCTGTCACCGGTGCCTTTGTAGTTTCTTTTTCAGTTGGGTCTCCCTCTCCATCTTCTGGTGCAGAAGTGATAGCTTTAGCACTGGGTTCCCACACATCAGCAGTAAGACCGTCAGCGTCCTCATCCAGATGTGGGTTTCCACTGGTTTTCACCTGACCTGCTTTCTGCTCTGTTATCACAGTAAAACCAGAATCCTTCTTGTCCAGTTCCTCCAGATGTTTCCTCTTTTCCTCCCAAGGCTGACAGAAAGCTGACTTGAGTGACATCGTTGTGTTTTTGCTGTCGTTTAAGACCACTTCGGTGTCTCGGCTGCGACTCATCGACCCGTCAGGCTGACCCGCTGATTGGTCACTGGGTAAATGAGGTGCCTTCATGGGGCCAAACACAGCTCTGGTTGCTTTCACGCTGCTACCTATGGGGGAGATCACAGTTCTCGATGGTGATGGATTGGCAGTTCTTGGTCTCTTGGCATGGTGGGACTCTTCCTTAGGGCTGAGGAGTCTTTTAATGGAGCCAGACCATCCATCGTCCCTCTTGGATCTTCCTCCCTCTCCGGCCATCAGTCTCCGTAGACTCTGCCCTTTGGAGCGAGGGCTGCGACAGATAGGGGACGCTTGGCCGAGCTTTCCTGCCTCTCTGCTGGGCTCTGGGCTCCGCAGACCTGCCTCTCTGGTGGAGGTAAGCCTGATCTGACTGTTGGGAGTTTCAGGCACAGAGAGGAGAAGATCTGGGGAGGGGGGAAGGAGGTTTTCAAGATCCCCAAAGACATTCCTCTTCAACGGGGAATGGAGTCTGAATAGAGAGCTTCCACCATCTTTGATCTGAGCAGTGCCAGTGAGGGGTACTTTGGTGGAAGATGTTCGGTCCTGCAAGCAGCAAATTAGTATTTTAATACAAAACTTTAAAAATATTGGCAGTTAACTGTTTGTGTACATCAGGGAGAAGTGTAATCGTACACAACAGTTACATACTTTGTGTGCAGTTTTATGCATTCATCTTACTTTTTTGACATTTTACCTGCTCCCCAAGTGAACATGTACAATCCTAAAGAAATCTAACGTCATGCAATGAGTTAAAGAGAGAGGGCTGCCTGCACACAACAGCACAGAGGAATCAACCGAAGCAGACACTCTAGATGTAATATTAACTGTCCTGTGATGTTTTATTTACTACAAAATCACTTCTTTTGTTAAACTTATCTAATAGTTTTTACAAACTGAAATGCATTTGAATCTTTGATTACCCATCATATGCACATTGCTCAAAATAATCTCTGAAAATCTTCGTCTGAATATCTATTAATGACAGAAGTAATATTTTTACATCCCTGTCAGGACCTTGTAAAAATGTTTTCATTTCACATTCTCTCTGTTACCTTTTGGTTTTGGGAGGAAAAGAAGGACGAGATGCTTTTCTGCCCTCCAGGTTTCCCTCCAGATACCTGACAGAAACCACAAAACAACAACACCAACATGTCACAGGAGCCATTTGTTTGTTGTCAAGAAAGCATTTGTGTCAAATGGCAGCACATGTCTGTAAAGGAGTCAGTGGTTCAGCTTTACTTACACTGCTGTGCACATACATCACACACAGGCCACTGAAAATCTTAGCTATGTGTTACGGCCGCCGCCGTATTGTGAGGAACTTCACCTCCCTCTTCTCAGTAGGTGTGAGTGTGTGTTTGTGTGAGTCTGCACTGCAGCAGGAGCTGATCTGATTCCATCCACCTGTGCTGGAGAAGGCTCATCCACCAATCAGGAGCCACCAGGAGGATTTAAGACGCCAGCAGACCAGCATTGGGCAGCGAGCTGTTGCCAGCCCCGCTCGTGTGTCTCTTTGTAACTTTCGATCGTTGTTACTTCTGTGAACTTGTTGAGGCACGAGATCCTGTTTAAGAACACTGCAGCCATCTTAGATTTGCTGTTAGCCTCACGAGTGATTGAGTGCTGTTCGGATTGTATTTCTGTTATTAGATTGGATGAGTTAGATCTTTTTTTTTTTAATTCTTCTGCATAATGGTAATCCTTAAACTCCAGGCTGGCATCTCCTTTTGTTCTCGTTTTCACAGCATTCATTTAGACTTTAGTTGCCTCACTTTTGTTCATCGTTAAATCTTAACTTTTGTAATAAATAACTTCAAATTACCTCACAACATCAGGGTTTTATGTTACTTCCCTTTTCCCAAGCGAGCTGGTCGTAACATTAAATTAAAGGCATGTTATTTACGTGCAAATTTATTATTAAAAGGTTTGCATTGTCGTCCAGAAGAACAAAAGATGAAGATGAAAATGGTTGGTTCTGAAGAAATTAATGCAACCTATCAATATATTATGGAAGCCAAATAAAACTTTCTTCTTTTTTTTTAATTACAAAAAAAAATCAAGCTTCGCAGCACTAAATCTGAACCTCTCAAAATTTTTATTCAGTTACTTGTTTATTTAAAATGTGTCTTTCAATCCTTCAAAACTTTTTTTTCCAACATGTTAAATAGATTTTTACAAACTGTATAGTGTCTAGTTTTTTAAAAAAGTGTAATACAAGCAGTTTCTCTATAATAAAAATATCTAATTTTGAAGCAAGCAAAAAATATCAGTAATACTGCAAACTCCATCCGGTGATAAAGGTGTGAAAGATGTGACTGGAAGCTGCAGAAAAAGTGAATCTGATAAAAATAGATAAAATAAATAATAATAATAATAATAAAATTCAAAGAGAATTTGTGCATTTAAATATGTAAACATGTATAAAACTGGGACTGAGGAGACACCGTCATAAATAAATGTAATTAAGAAACACCACATCCTGCAAAAGTTAAAAAAAAAAAAAGAAAAGAAAAAAAAAAAGACTAAATTAAAAGCACCATACAACGTCTTGATAAAAAAAAAAAAAAAAAAAGACTAAATTAAAAGCACCATACAACGTCTTGATGTCTTACAGTGTTGTCCAGGAAAATAAAAGGCAGAAAAATTAAAGTGCACAGGTGGGTTCAGGAGAAGTTAAAGCATCCAGACAGCTGAGTCACTTACGGATGATTGAAGCAACAATAACTAACGGCAGGTGTCACATTTAACGGTTAACGTTACTGTTGTTGTTTTTTTTTTTTTAAAGATCTCACCTTAGTTGTCTTCATTTTTATCCTGTTCATGGTGACGGTTGTTACTCATCAGCCTGCTGTTCGTATGAAGGAGCTGCTGTTGGTTCAGCAGAGTTTAACGAGCTGCTTGTTTTCGGGGGAAGCTAACAGCAGCATCAGCTAACGTTACGACAATCTGCATCCCCTCCACCAGGAGCCTGTCCGCTGGAAGAGCAGCGACAGGTGGCGGGTCTGTTTTATAAAGAAAGCTACAGCAAAGGTTCAGCTCCGGGAGTCCTCCTCTCGACGGTATTTATCATGTTTTCCTCCAGTGTTTTGTTAAAAACAAACTGCGCCGCCAAATTTTCAGTTTCGCGGAACGGAAATGACGTCGTTGCAGTTCCGCCCGACTTTTTTTTTTTTTTTTTTGTCGTAATAGCAGGTTTAACGTTTTCATTCAAACGTTTAATAATTTCACTCAGACATTATGGCGCATCCACTACAACCGTAATCACCACCCTGTTCAGATGAGAAGAGTTAAGAAAAATAAGTAAATATAGTACATTTAAAAAAATACATCTGTATTCATATGTGTTTGCAGTAGCGGCTATGAGCTCAAATGAGTATGGAATGCCTCTTTATTCGGTATTAAATAGACAAAAAAAATACTCCTACTAAATGTTTAAAATAAAAGCTTTCAGAGTTTCGACCTTTCAAAGCTGTTTTTCAGTTCCGTGCACCAGCTGTCAGATCACCATTTACACACGTTCAAACCCGGAAAACTAACACACCCTGTTTAATATGCACTTTACAAACCTTATTTCCTCATGCAAGTTGTTGGATTAAGATGTGTCTTCTTTTTCTGATGCAAAGTATGAGTTGTAGATCAGTTTGCAGCTCAGATTCCTAGTTTGACATTTGCAATGGTGTGGACTTTGAAACACGTTGATAGGACTATATAAAAGAAGATAATAAAAAGTGTCAGGTGGCTCTTATGTTGTATGGAGATGTTACAGGTGGCGTTTTGGTCCACTTGTCCCTTTGGAGGAACTAATTGCTGCAAATCAATACAAGTTGTTTTGAGTGGTCACCTTTATCCAATGGTTGTCTATCCTGATAGAAGAGGTCTCCTCCAGGATCACAATGAGTCCATCAATAGAGCATGAGCGGTCACTAATAATAAGAAGAAGTCATTATTTAATCCAAACATGATGGGTTATGAATTCTTTTGGTATTGCATTTAATTCAGAAGTCATTTAATTCTGTTTGCTTGTAGTCAAAGTCTTATACCCACACAGCTCTTACATTTAAAGTTCAACTGAAATGAAAAAA